GAAAAAGCACATTCTGTATCAAAATAAATTTATGTTTGGAAAGCAGCATCCCCTCCAGAAACAAAACACCCATTGCTTATATGGCCCAAGCTACAGAGGAAAAGCTCAACTGAACGCTCTCAGCTGCAGCAGGGTTCGCAGCCCTTAGACATATCTGGAGGTCTTACGAGACTCTGGCTGGAGCTGGGGAGTGGCGGCCTGGATGCCTTTGAATAGAGCCTGCCATGTTGTGTTCTCGAATCCAGAGTCACCCAAGGACGACTCTGCTGGGGGTTCCAAATGTGAGAGGACGAGAGCACCACACACTCTCACATGCAACATGCTCATGCCACACACTCACACCCAACGTGTGCTCTCTCATACATTCTCTCACACACACACACTCACACACAGTATGGCTCATAGATGCAATGCATTTTCACACAACATGCTTCCTTACATGACATACTGCCCCATACAAGCTCACATGTTCCAATGCATACGCTTATACCCTCTCACATGTACACACTGTCACACACACACACAGGTGTAAATACCCAAACAGACTCACAGTCGCACGCCCATGTGCCTCCCCAAAATGCTCACACACATCCATGCAGATAGAAAAAGTCACGTAGGGCCCCAGAGAAACAGAGTCAGCCACACCCATGGCTACCTCTCGATGACACACATGAACAGACACAGAAAGACACACACAACTCAAGAACACACATATACTGACAAAGACCCACACCCAGTCTCAAATGTGAACAACCCTCAAAACCATGATGCACACACAGACACAGAGAGCCCCTGACACTTGCTGGATGCACACACAGACACAGTGACACACACACGCAAAGTCAGTCTTCTGCTCTCATACCCCCAAGTCCTCCCAATGGAAGGCAGGTCCTGGCACTCACCCTGGGCAGAACTGTCCAGACATGGGGGGCGCCGTCCTTCCAGCCCGGGCCCAGCAGCCTGAGCGCACTCTGACGGCCTCAGCAGCACCACCAGCAAATAAAAAGCGAATGTGCAAAAATAAAACCGAAAGGATGCGATAAAGCAGTCCCCTTCCCACAGGACTCTGCGCTGACGCAGGTTCTGCTCTCTGCAATAAACATTTTCATTCTAATTTTAAAAGACATTAGCATTACCTCTTTGGCTCTCAATCCAGCCAGACGGTACCTCGCCTGCTAGGCTGCCCACCGGCCACATTGAGCAGTGAGGGGACGCAGGGTTCCAGGCCTCACACCCCGACCCTGCAGGTCACCCTGCACAGTGTGTACTGACCTAGGGACCTGCTGGCCACCTGGGTCTGATTTTACATGATCCTTGCAAGCCCCAGTTTTAACATCTAATACAGCAAAGAGATACCCTCAAACTTCCCCCATGAGGATTCTCTCTCACTCCAGCCAGGATCCCTATGGGTCCAATCTTACCCTCCAATATGAGCACCATACACAAGGAAGGTGGCTGTCAAATGGTGGGTCAGTCCCCTGACAAATGGGGGCCTCTGTGTGAACTGGAGCACCGTTCTCCACCCCCACCCCACCACTCACCCTGCCTGCAAACTTGGGTCTCACCTCACACCGCCCAGCAGTGATCCTTCCAGGCAAGGGCTTAAGGGAGAAGAGAAACCACACACCAGTCTGGGAAAGCAAAGTTGAGTTATCTTTATGAGCTCAGAAGCCTAGACCCCAAAAAGGAGCCTCCACAGCCTCAGTTCTCACTCCACCCTGCTCAGCCTTGAGGTCCCAGGCACTCTGATCAGGTGATTTCTGCGAAGCCCACCTCTAAACCTTTGTCCACGCTGCTTTCTCCTCCTAAGACACACTTTCCTATCTCTTTGCCAGAGCTGTCTGGTCATCCTTCAGATCTCAGTTTCCAAGTCACTTTATCCCATATTGTCAAGGGTCTGGGGACGCCTTGATGAGTGTGGCAGCCCAGTTCCTGCCTTCATTGAGCCATAATGCAGATGCCCTTTTTCTCAGTCTTCCAGACTGTGGAGCACCTCTCTTTGGCTCCTACAGCCTCCTGGGCTTCTCACTTAAGGGACAGCTCCTCCCAGGCTGGTTCCACCTGCCTGTCTCTGGTAGGTCTCTGGTGGCTATGATGAGGGGCTTCCTGAGGGCAGGAAGAAGTCTTCAGTGTTTCCCCAGGTCTCCCTGATCCTGGCACAGTGTAAGCCCAATAACTGGCTGCTAAGTAAATAAATGAACAAACAGCTCACATGGGGAGGAAAAGCTCATGGTCTTCTTCCTCTGGATTTTCAGAGAAACCAGGAAAAGGAAGACCCAAGTAAGTCCCTGATAGAGAGAGGACATGACATCGGCTCCTGGCTCTTATCTGCTCTGCCCTGGGGTGGGGGATGCAGACCCCTCCGGCCATTCCCAACTGTTTATACATCACTGTATCCAACTGAAGCTTCATAAGCCCCAAAGTAAAAATGTTGGATGAGAAAGAAATGTCAGCAGATGGCTCACAGCAGCCTCAGCAGCCTACCTCTGGGGCTTCTTGAATCTTCCTTTGAAACATCTCTACATCAGTCCTCTCCTGGGCAGCACCAGTGCCACGGCAGTGTCCACACCCCACTAATGAGGCCTGGACGACTGCAGCAGCTCCTCCCCGTCTTCCTGATTCTGATCTTACCCTCACAATCCCTCCTCTCCCCAGCGGCCTGAGAGCTCCTTGCAAAAGCTCAGTGGATCCTGTCACTGCCACTCCAAGCTCAAACCCTTCTGTGGCTTCCTGTAGCTCTCAGGATTAAACCCCCAAATCCTCAACCTGCGCCTCCAGGAAAAGTCCAAACTTTACACAGTAGTCCAGGAGGCCTTGCCTGATTTGACATCCACCACCTGCTCCAAGCTTACCTCAATCCCCAATTAAATGATTCATCAGTCCCCAACGTCCCTGGTTCTCATCTACTATGCCAGTGCCCACGCTGTTCCCTGTGTCTGATGCTGTTCCTTGGTGTAAAATGGCCACCGGCAAGTCCCTGCCTGGCAAACTCATCCTTCCAGACCTGATGCAAGCAGTCCCTTTGTGGCCCCTTCCCAGCTACTGGCTCTGAGCATCTGCACAGCATGTACCCAGTGCCGTAGGAAACCTCCATCTTGTGCTGTCACTGGTGGTCTTCTCTCCCCAGGACCCCTGGAGAGCAGGAGTCCCATCTAATTTATCTAGGGGCTCCCCAGATAAATAGTCCAGAGTAGACATATTAATATGTACTAGTGATTACTGCTGGGATGAATATAATTTTTAAGCTCCCTCTGCGCCTGGTGCCTTGTTCTAAGTTCTCATATTAGTCTGTTCCTAAAAAATCAAGACAAAAGAAAAGATCCAGATGCTTCTGCTTCCTCCCCAAATCCCCATGATCTAGTCTGGAGGCAGAAGGCTTGGCAATCAGCATGTGAGCAGTGAGGAAAAGGCTCCCTCAGAAATGACACAGGAAAGAGCCTCCAAAGAGGTGACAGGGCTCATCACCCCAAGACAGGCACCTGATTATCTGAGACCCTAAGGCTCAGCCCAGAACAACATGAGCCTTCATTCCAAGGCCACTCTGTAGGGCTCAGGGGACACACACTGACATGAGGCCCCTATGTCACCTTCCTGGAGCTCCTGTCAGTAGTCAGGATGAGGCTAACAAGGAGCAGGCCATGTGCTTTTAAAGACAGGGGGACCTTTAGAAAGGGATGAGAAAGACCTCCAGTGCAGGGTCCTCAGAGGTGCTGGGCTCTGCCCAATGGGTTGGCAAAACCCTACTTTGAGGATTTAATACTTTATCTTGAAGAAAGAGATGCACTCTCTGAAGCCAAGATCTTTGCTGCCCAACTTCCTCTGGCTAGGTCTCTTGGACAATTCCAGTCCCACTTGCAAACCTGCCCAGAGGCTGAGCTGGCCCTGCTTTCTGGAGGAAAAGTGTTGGCTGGAGACTTCAGCTGGGCTGGGAGGTGGGGAATTAAAGCATCACAGAAGAGGGACAGGCAAAAGGAATACTATGTGACCTTGGGTAAGTGACTTCACCTCTCTGAGCCTCAGTTTCCTCATCTGGAAAATAAGTGTAAGTAATAAAAGCTCCTGAAATCCCACACGGGGAGCATCCAGCCTGGGGCCTGGCCTCCCATTCCGCTCCACGCATGGAAGACATTATGACAATGATTTAGGCAAACCCAGTGGGCTTCTGGAGAGCAGGATGAAAGGGCAGAGGGGAAGAGAGCAGCCCAGGGTGGACAAAGAGCCTTGGCCTGGTTAGTTAGGGCACTTGAGACCATGATTCCGCCCCCTCCCCAACCCTATACCCACCTAAAAAGGCTCTACTTTGGACCCGCCAGGCAACTGCAGACATGTAAAATAGGCTCTGGCGATGATAATGCTCTGAATGGTAGCAGCTCTCAGCTCTCCACGCTGACAGAGGCCTCAATGACACGGATAATACAGGGGCTGTCACTCATCTATGAGGCACCCTTGTCAGGTGTGCCCAAGCCCCTTGCAGCGCCTCCCTGGATTCACTGCCAGCTCTATTTAGTTCTGGGGGACATGAAACTTC